AGTCTTTTTCAGATAACCAAACACTGTCTACGCTTCACGCTCAAGTTCAAGCATGCGAAAAACAATTTCAAGGCACAAAATTATAACTCGGACACACTTTCTCCAGCATAGTACATACATACGTGTATCCCATAAAAAATTAATGCACAGTCAACACATAATAAGCATTTTGCTGATAAAACCACTACTCTGTTATCAATTATTCAGGTGGCAACCTAAATTTTGCGGTTTGTGGATGTTTGCTTCTTCATTTAAATGTAATTAATTATAAAAGTATGGTATTTTTCCATTTACTGGGCCAATATAATGCTTTGTCGCATTATGGGGCTTCTACCTTAACTGTATTATGAATGCAATCTATAAATACCTTGTAGCTTTGCTATTTTTAGCCAAAGTGGAAAAATGTATAATTCTGTGGAAATAATTTATCAAAACCAATCGTAAACAATAGCAAGTCTGTTGTTTTTGTGGGTAGAACCAATTTTTTATTGTTGTTATCAGCGTGGCCTTCTTGAGAAATACGACGAACCATTGCAGTCGCAGTATCTTTATTTGCAAATAGCTGGGGGGAACTACCAGAGTGTCACTTTTAATAACAATAAAATAAATAGATTGTTAACAATCTTACTTTGAAGTATGTATACTATGTTTGATGCTTAATTTTAGTTTTGAAATTAAGTTTTTTGATTGCATTCATACTGTATTGAAGCAGTTCACAAAAATAAAATACGAGTTTATACATAATTAGTTAACTGAAGCGTTTTTATAAATATGCATCATTTATGTGGCTTGTTTCATAGCCTGTACCCGGACGGGGAAAAAATTAATAACAAATATATACATATAACAAAAGGACAACATATATCTACAAAATGGAGAATAGACGATTAATTGGTCTATGCATTAGTTGAATAATATTCCCTTTCAATTATACCCCGATTATTATATCCTGGGCATGCTTTTTGCAATTCTGAAGCTACGCAAACTAAATTGGACACACTTGGATGCAGCTCTACCCTTCTCTCTTTTTATTCTAATTATAAAACATTTTAGTGAAGGATACAAAAAATATTCCAAAAAGTATAAATAAGTTTTCTGATTTAGTCTCGATCAACGATAAACTTATTAAGAAATAATATTTAGCAAAAAATGAACGTCATCTATTTTGCATTAACATCGTTAATATTTTAACTAAATAATACATTGCAAAAACAACAAAATTATCATTGATTATATTTTAAATACATATTAAGTATCTTATTAGGTTGATCTTGCTCAATTATAAAGCGATCAAGCTACACGTGCACATATACGATATAATCAATTGAATTGAGAATAATACGTATATTGAATACCCTTTTATTTTTAACTTCTTATATATGTATGTATTATATTACATACTTAATAAATTTATTAATCGTTGCAGCTTTTCAAATAAGCTTTGTTGTACCATACCATGGGATTCTATTGAATATTTAAACTAAATTTTTAAAGCCAAAAGTTATCCAGCTAAGCGAAATATTTTTTTGGCAGTTATAGTATATAGTATATATAGTAGCAGTATAAGTAATCAGGCTATTCACGAGACAAGACCACATCCCTTCTTCAGCCTATTACACACATTTTTGCTTAGACTGCCTAATATACCCTTTGGTTCCTAGAAATACACTGAAGACCTAAAAAGATATGGTATTAATTAAATAAACTAATTCATGCGTTACTAAAACTGGAGCTTGCAAAAAATACTATAATGCATTAGCGGCAGTGAACGAAAAACTGTCCAACGGAAAACAACATTATGCGGAAAGGTGCAGTGTTTGTGGGTTTCTTCCTACATATACTTAGTAAATATAGTTTCGTGGGTATTAAAATATTTTTCTTCAATTTCTAGAATGCAACTTCCTTCAAAATGACCATTGCAGTCTGCGAGTCCTACAACAAATCAGTGATAGTTATAAATTATTGCCGCCTTAAAGTTGTGGCCAGAAACAAGGTCGTTCTCAATATAAACAGAACATTTATCTATTCGATTAATTATATTGGATTGCGACTTCAAATACAAAGGAAAGCGAATGGATATAAGCCATGGATTATAGATTACAAAGTTGATATTTGTGACTTCATGCGACGCCCCAATCATCCAGGTTTCAAGATATTTTGGAATTTGATAAAAAAAACTTTTCAAATGTCTATCACCCCTGTCCATTAATAATAGTTGTCAGCAAATTAAATACAAACACTATTATTATAGGGGGGCCACTTTCTAAAGGATTTTTACATTAAACCATAGATCAACCAAACAGGCCAACAATCTCTTTTCGTTCTTAACAAATACGCAATGTATTTAATACTTTTGTAATTCAATTATTTGTCGCTAAAATATTTCGGCCAACCAATTTTTTAACATATACTCGAATATTGCTTATTTCGTATTTATTTCTCAGTCTGTACCCGAAGAGGGAAAAAACTAATGACAAATGTATGTACATACATACTTATATGTGTACTCGTATAACAAAAGGACACCATTTTTATTTACATATGCCTATGATTACCTTTAAAATGGGGTCTGCCACGACTTGATTTGAGCTTTACACATATTAGACCAAAAGCAATATACCCTTTCTAAGGAAATACAAATATAATAAAAGATTTTTTTATTTTTAAGAAACAACAAAAAGTCAAGAATCGCTTTACGTACTTAAAGTATTAACATTTCTTTAAAATAGCGTAAGCCCTTTTAAAATACAAGTTTTATTCAATTCCACGGAAACAAGTGTCCAAAACACCATAAAATTAATACCTTTTATTCATGTTGATATATGTTCAAGATATTTTGGAATTTGATAAAAAACTTTTCAAATGTCTATCACCCCTGTCCATATGCGGTATGTACTAATAATAATAGTTGACAGAAAATTAAATACAAACACTATTCTTATAGGGGGACCACTTTCTAAAGGATTTTTACATTAACCCAGAGCAGATGCCCATTCCACTGCCCACTGGTGATTATGCGGTTCTCCTGGACTGGTTTTTTAACAAGAAGTTGCAGTATATTAGACACGTATATTTTACATTTCAAGAAAATTGAATTGAATTGAACCTATGTACATATTTGTACATACACACATACTCTGATTTGAGCAATTTGCATGAAAAGTCAATGTCAACTGAAGGTGTTTGTCATTTGAAAATATATGTGTAGAACAAGTTATATTTTAACCAACTTTTATAACACTTTTATGCTTCTACAATAAATCAAAGCACAGTTTGAACTACTTATAGAAATGTTCAAAAATTATTTACATTTTGCGCATTGAAAACAAAATAATATTTATAATTTGGGTCTGTTTGGATTTAATAATAGACTATTTTTTTTTGGACCAATGAACGAACTGAGCATTGTATATTTAAATATATAATTCGCATGCCTCCAAATCAATAAAATATTACTGCGCATTTGTTATGATTGCCATACAGAAGGCCAGACGTAACCCCATTTTCCATAGACCCACTCAATTATGTGCGTCTCGACCATTAAAGGCCAGAACTTGCATCAGCCATCGTTATCGATGGAACTTGAATTACTGTCAACATTTTTGCTCGCAAATATACATATGTAGGTGAATATAATCTGAATGAAAATATCAATCCGAATCGCACAAATAGTATTAATAGAATTGGGAATGTATCTGCAAATGATAACTGGAGCTTGGAGATACAACAAGACCTTTGAAATGGGACTTTGGCACCGAGAAGCGTAAAATTCAAGTGAAAACTAATCATGAAGCAGGTGTAGATGCTGCTGCTGTAAAAAATTTCATACTTATCACCTGACTCATTGGCGAACTTTGGTTGCCTACTTGAGCACTCCCTCCCCTGCCGAGAGCCGAGAGAAGCAAGCTGATAAAAGTGCCATGAATATGTGAATGCGCTTATCAGGTGCCAATGGTACGTGGCCCCCTCTAAATGGCTAACAAGAGCAGCGTGATGGCGCAAAAAATGTCAAAAATCTGTAGGAAGTACATTTTAAATAAATGAAGAGATCACATCCGACTGTGCCATGCCAGTCTTGAAGTACAGGTGGGTATGAGTGTGTGCTGATCGTTAGTCATAGGTAGAGAGCACGCGCCCGCAAAGACGAGCCACCGTTGATTACTCATACGACACGTAATCAAAGCGTATCTAAGTGCTTGGGGCTGGCGATTTCATCAAAGCTCGCACAACTAACGGCTGTGCGCTTTTTTTTACCGTTTACCGTTTTGCATTGGGCTAGGTCAGTGAGACTGTCGCCATGTCTGGCTGCCCGGCTGCATGTCTGAACATGAAATCTGCATACAATTCAATACTCGTATGCTAAGTGGTCGACGCTTGACACGATATGTATCCAATGGGCCTATCTCCCCCTCCCCCTTCCCCTCACCCGTCCCCTCTCTGTCCGACTATGCATGAGTATCTCTATCTGTAGATATAATTTATTTGTTTTCGCATGGCATACAATTTTCGACGCATTGTCAAGTGCCATAGACGTCTGCTCCAGATAAAATGCGCAATTTTTCCACTACACATATCCCAGTATGCGCATTTTAGATGACTTTCAGAGACTGCGTGCTGATTTAATTTGAATTAAAACGGTTTTGAAGACGCCATAACGGTGCATTTTGCGGGGCACCTGTACACGTATATTGGGCAACATCCTCTGCACCGATCAATAAATACAATGCACAGATTTTAGATGTGATTTTAACGTTGCTTTTCAACTTTATGCTTTCTTGTAAATGTATTGTATATGACTACTACAGGTGTAGAGGTGTACGAGTATGGGTGAATGGACTTAAGCGCATACATACGTGTATGAGCGGTAATCGAGAGTCTTGCAAATTTGTTGAATTGTGCATTAAAATGAACTGAACTTATGCCAATTAATCGTAAAGTATTAAAGTGTTGTCAGCTTGTGTGTGTATCTGAGAGTTTGTCAATTAATTTGCGGGCCATGGTTAGTTGCAATCGGGGCTCCAGGGCTTCTTGGCATTCGCCTGACGCAGCTGCTCCAAAGCGATCTCATGTGCCCGGAAATGCTCACGTGTCGCCTTGTCCAGTTCACTGAAACCGCCAGCGTTGTAGATGGAACCGCTGGTGGGGATGCTCGGAGTGCCAGCGGTGTAGACAGCGCCCACAGTGCCTGCTGAAAAGCTGCCATCGGTTTTCAATTGTTGCGATTGTTTCAGTTGCGTTTGAATGTCGGTCAGGGGCAAGGCGGCCGGCTTCAGCTCACTCTGCTGCTGGATGTAACGCAGCAGGAAGGGGTTCTGCTCCGCAATCAAATAGGCTGCACTGCTGGGCGCGTAGCTCGCCGAAGTGGCAGGCTGATTGGACTGTATGCGCAGGAAGAAACCATTTTGTTGCTGCTGCTGCGGTAGAGGCTTGGCGATGGAAGCAGTGGGCGCAATCAGCTTAAATCTACTGCTGTCGATTTTCTGAGACTCCAAGGGACTTGGGCTGCTGTAAATGACACCACCTGGCTTGTATTTGAGGAGCTCCTGCTGCTCAGCTTTGAGGCGTTGCGCCTCCTCATAACGCTCGCTCTCGCGTCGCTGTTCCTCCTGCTGCTGCAGTGCAATGCGCTCAGATTCAAGCAAACGTGTCTCTTCCCTTAAGCGTTCCGCCTCACGCTCACGTTCCAGCTGCGCCTCCTTCTCTTCCTTACGACGTTGCTCGATCTCGAGCAACCGCTCGGAGTCACGTTCTCTTTCCTCGTAACGTATCAAGTCCGCAATGTCGTCCACTTTGTCCTGAGCCTGCAGCTTGGCCTGTTTGAGTATTTTCAGGTGCTCCTCGCGAGCACGTACAACTTCGGGTGTATCCTGTACGGGCTGTGGTTGCTGTGTTCCAGGTACATCGAATATGGACTTGATGGCGATGGGCTGCGTCGCATAGACTTGGCCAATGGGTTGCTGTTGCTGGGGAGCCATCTGCTGTTGCTGCACAGCCTCGTTGTATTTTTTCAGATGCTCCTCACGAGCGCGTTTAACTTCTGGCGTCTCCTCCACAGGTACCGGAGACGGCTGTCCTTCGTAATTCTTTAAAGGAGTAGCAAATATGGGAGTAGTCTTTATAATCGGCTTGGAGTCTGCGCTGAGTAGTGCAGGCGCAATCGGTTGCAGAGGCTGCTGAATTCCTGGAACGGCCTTCAAAATGGGCACGGGGGCCTCGGACAGGACTGGCTGACGCTGCAGGGCGGCATTAAACTGCTTCAGATGCTCCTCGCGTGCTCGCAACACTTCAGGGGTCTCCTGCACCGGCAGAGGTCCTGCACCAATGCTTGGCTGAGGCGTCTTCTTCAGGAGGAGACCATCTTGCTGCTTTTTAAGCTCTTCATAAGTAAGCGGAGTAGTTTTCACTAGCAACTGTTGCTCTTCGGGCTTGATCGGTTGCTTGAGTTCCGTTCCAAACTCGCCTCCATACTGCAGCTGATCCTGGGTCAAGCGTTGCTGTTCTTGCTCAGCGCGCAACACCTTCAAATGAAAGCATAAATCACCAAAAACAAAGTGAAACTATTTGGAATAATTACCTGCAAGCGCGCCTCGTTCCACATCCGCAAGTGTTCGTCACGTGCCCGCTGAACCTCAGGACTGAGTCCAGGCACAGCTTCGTATGCGTTTGTCTTCACAATTTTTTCGAGTGGCTCGAACTGTGCCAACATATTGGCCGATGGCTGCTTGCCCTCGGCTTTCAGACGATCCAGCTCCAATTTAAGCGCATTGTAGCGTTGCTCGCACCAGGCACGGAAGAGAGCAGCTTGTTCGGGACTAATAGAAGCTGGAGAGAAGCTGCTGCGCAGCAACGGATTCAAAATGTCCTCATTGCCATAGCTCAGACGACGGATGCCGTATAGGGGTTCCGGATACTTGTAGGCCACCAGACGCTCTGCCCCTGTATTATCCAAATACCGCACGTAGCCCTGAGCCAAGCCACTGTCCACGGCAAATTCACCTCGTGCCGGCGCATAGGCCAGCAAATTAGTCCGATAGGCTATGGGGGCGTGAGCATGCGCACCCAGGGCCAATAGGCTGAGCAAAAACAAGCGCATGGTAGCTTATCTGCGAACCGGAAACACTGACAGCACTGTAGACTTGTAGGACTTCTGGTGTGGCACTGACCAAAACTTCGCTACAACTTCAACAACTGATACTCTGGACTCTTTTTGACTGCACACACTAGCGACTGACGTAGAACTGTTATGGAACTGGACAGCACCCAAGCCCTTTTATATGCTGCACTGAGCCAGTGGAAAAGCACCAAAAACCACAAAACGCCTGTTGTCCTTGACGCGTCTGTCGTCTCAATCGGCTCAGAATGTGCCAATAAATATATTGTTACCCTAGGTCGGCCAAGCGGTCGAGCTGCTAACCGGCCGGCTATCTGCTTACCTTAGCCTGGCTCTGCCTCTGCCTTCGTGCGTGTCGTGAGTTCTTGTTTTCGGCTTTTTATCTTGGCAGCAGCTGCAATTAATTGCTCGATCCAGACACTCGTTCCATCCATCGTTGCAGCTGCAGACGGAATCTCACAGCATGCCGTTACTTAAGGCCGCCTTCGCTGACCACCCTTTGGCTTTAGCTGCGAATCTGGCTCTGGCTCTGGTTCTTCCGTTACCTCGATGTCGCCATCAGGCAAAAGTCTGTTCAAGGTCGAGTCTGGTTTTATTTTTAGCACACACAATTTATGGTCAGCCCTACACATAAAGTAAGAGTCCAGGGCATCCAGGGGAGAAGAAGAAAAGGACAGGAATGCAACGCCTATCCATTAATCAGCGCCCAATTGCTGTCGAAGCAGGACTCGGACACTGGCAATCTTTTGCATGCCTCGGACATTTGTCAAATTATAAGCCGTAAATGCAAGTCTTATGTTTTTATTGATTGTTCGGCTCCACATTTGGAGCTGCTGTCTCCGCTGCGTGGTTATTTTTAGCAAGTACAGTCTCCAAAATGACAGTCGCCGGGCTGGCGCGTCTGCGTGACGCGACAAATGGCCCGAGAACAAAACGCTTTCCATAAATGCAATTGCATATGAGACAGTTAGCAGAGGTAACAGCAGATGTTGGCAGAGGCAGGTACTTGGTCCCGAAACGTAACCGGTTCCCCAAAAGGTTCAACTTCGTTTCGCTCGGCATTTAATAATAAATTCAATTTAATTTCAGTCGGCGCCGTTATATGGGCAATATCGTTACAAATTTGACGGTAACATCGGCAAAGGAAATGCAAAAAACAAAAAAAAAAAAAAATACACAAAATAAAATAAACAATTAATGTCATTGAACATTTTTGTGCTTTATATATACACACATAGTATATATGTACACTCACATACATATATATATATAGTAAGTAAAAATTCAGTTCAATTGGAGTTCATCGGGTGGTTTTCGCGAAAGTGGGTGCATTAAACCAAGGCTTTGTTACTTAAATTTAACATACATATATGAATACTTATTTAGCTTCACATTGACTCATATGGCAGATGGGGGCCAACTCGAATTTTATGATCAATAATAAGGGTATGGAAAGGGTTGTTTAAGAAGGCGTACAGAGATCTTGCAACAGAAAATCAACGACTAGTACCTTATTCTTACAAGTAATTTAAATTTGGCAAAATTTATATGCAATAGGAAAAATAACCTGTTACCAGTTGCCTTTCAATCGGTTATTTAAAATATTTCACCTCAATTAATTGCACGTCAAATAAATTTATTTGTCATTGTTGTTATTTTAATAAAATTTTCACAACCACAGCTGCGTCAATTGCTTTTAGTAGCTCTTCAATTCATTTCTAAAATTATCTCTTTACACATTTTAATATCAATTGCTGCTATGTTTGTGAGTACCGGAAAAAGTCCAGAAGACAGAAGAGAATTAAATTACACCTATTCCTACAACTTAATTTGATTTATGAATGGATATGGCCTATTTAAGATGAACCATATTTTATTTAAGCATGAAGCAGCCATTCATAAAGAATACTAACAATTTGAATATTAGCGAAGCTACTATATTATTTCTTAGAAGAGTCAACGCTAACAGCTGAATCGAAATTCAAATATTTCATAACGGGGTCATCCACTGGAAATGATTGAATCATGAACTTGTTTCGTGAATGTTTGCTTTGCGATTTTGTAAACTTTAAAACATTGCTCTTTCAATAACCAGTTGGTTAACCCTTGGAGTTCCCATACACTCATCAACTATAGCGTACATTTCACGTATATTCTTCCACTAAAATTGATAGCGAAGAAGCACTTTCATATTTTTCACAATGTTGTCAATGCATCGAGGAGAGCTTCAGGCAGCCAAAATATCAAAACACACAGTAAATGGAACCAGGCAATGGAAATTGGCTGAATCACTCCCAATTCGGCAGAAATAGGCTTCAAGTTGTTAGCAAATCAGCACAACTAGCAGCTTGTCACAGAAACGCCTTTTATTTTAGCACCTTTTAGACCTTTGTACCCTTGGTTTATTTCATTTCAATACTCTTTACATCAGCTACTTTCTCAAGCAAGCCAACATTTCATAATGCTGCTGAGGAATTTCGTTGCCAAAACAGCCATCTTGTTGCTAAGCGCCATACTCTGTCAAATATCTAGTATAGATTAAAACACGAGGCATGTTCGCATGTGTGTGTGTGTGGGTTGATCGAACTGACCACAGTCACGCAGACCATAATATTTTGCTTTCTGAGCATGTGACGTCCTCTCCATTGGATGTTCATGGGTTGGTGGACATAGCCGCTGGCAGAATTTTCAGCAATTTACGTCACAATTTATTTCAATTATTCTGTTGTCTTCGCTATATTGGGCTAAATGCTCGAAATGGGAGGCACGCCTGCTTAATTAAAGCAGCTTCTGCTTTCCAGCAAAGTCTATATTTTCAAACAAAAAAGTACTTCTCTTAACTGTCAACGCGGCGTATACGCAACTTCAAGAGCCGTGGCGCAGAGGTGATAATTACATAAATATAATTAGTGCAGCATTAAATCAATTTAACTGTCTGCTGCCAGCTGTATTAAATTCATAATGTTATCAAAACCACGCCATTTTGTTAAAAGTGCGCCTTCTGGCAAAATTCGCTTTGCATTGCTTTTCCTGTTGTGGTCGCTGGTTTTTTCAAATTGATGACAAAAAAATAAAACAAGATCACGCCTTCGCTTTAGTCGAGCTGCTTAGCAACAAAAGCAACCATAATGATGGCCAATAAACGCACTTGAACTTCAGTTTTTCAAAATTTCCAAGCCATAATTAGCATTATAAAAGGCAGACTAAACACACACACACACACACACACACAATTTTACATTTGTTTCCAACAATTTATTATTATTCATGAGCAACGTTGGCCACATCACGTGCGACTTGACCAGCTAATGGCGAAGACAAAAACCAACCTCCAACGTCATAGCGCGGAACTTGAATCGGAGTATCGGAGTATTGGTGTGCAGCAAATGCCTCTGCGTGCAAATTAATTTAAATAATTTTCGCTTGCGGCAAGTTCAGCGCAATAACAAAGTCCCAACAATGTCACACACAAAAACAACACTGATATTTTTGTGAATGGTTGAAAAAGCAACGTCAGCAAAAACTGATTGTTTTAACAATTTTTGGCTGAAAAGCCCGTATTTCGATTAGCATCTTATCTACGTACATTTTTGGGAAATTTTATTTTCGTATTTCTGATAAATACAATTTATGCATTTTTTGTCTGACAAAAACTCTGACATATACTAAATGATATATGTATATACATATTTATGTATTGGGAAATTTTGCCATTATTGGGTTTGCTTTTTGCAAACATTTTAATATGTATGTATGTAGGTATGAGGCCGTTCCACATTATTTCAAAAATAAAGTAAACCGCCAAGGGCATTTATTTTGAAACTGAAAAATTCTTTTTAAAATTGTTTGAGGCTTATTATGTTTGTCGCCGGCTGAGCCATTTATGCCGTCGCTCTTGTAGTCATTTGCGTCATTTCAGCAAAATCGTAATAAAACTTGTTTCTTGTTTCCCCCCTTTTTTGTTTTTTTTTTCTTCTTCGATTCATTTGTACGCTTGCTCTGGTGCCTTTTTGCACTTCAATTGATCCGCTGGGGAAGTTCCCAGCGTGAGCGCTCTAATTGCTAGCACTTGGCTAGTTCCGTTTAACTTTGCGCCTTGCTTACATACTAATTAAATAAATAAATCAATTAAAGCGCCAACGCAATGACCTACAGCTGAGTTGAATTGAGTTGAGCTGAGCTGAGCTGAGTTAAGCACCTGTCAAAAAAAAAAAAAAAAAAAAAAAACAATATTAAAACATCAATAAACTTCAATCGCAGACGCTCATAAATTAATTTGTGTTCATAATTAAGGCCAAGTGGCTGACTGGGATTTTGGGCGTTTAATATATTAATACTATACATATGTATGTATGTATCTATGACTATGGACATGTGCTAAATTAAGCTGTCTATGATCGGCAATTTCCGACGCCAAGTCTGGGTCCGACGTGTGAAATGGCAGCAGCTCAACAGGCCACTCAATTTTCATATTAATTCAAATTTTTCTATCGTGCACGCCAACAGTCCCGGCAACACGTTTTGCTGCTACCGTGTGCTCGTGTCAAAGCCACACAATCAATCAGTTTTAAGCCAAGCTATACAAATGCATCGAACACTTGCCTCACATTATTCTTTAGCACACACAAAGCATATAAATAATGCGAGCAAATATTTTATGCCACCAATTGACACGCACTTTAATTTATTTTAAAAGTTGCTCATAATTTGTTTATTTACTTTTGTCTACGGTCTGTCGTCTTTCGCTTTTGTTTCAATCTGTTATTCAGTTTAATTGGCTTAATAAAGTATGCGTCTGTGTACGTATGGGCGTAGTCGCCTCCAAACTGTTTCCAATCAGTTCCACAAACTAGTTGGAAGCAGAATGTGTAAGGAAACAGGCTCATCCATGGGGTTTAAGCTGTCCTTAGGGCCCATTATTGTTAGCACAAATCAGCCGTTTATTCACTACACCTGGAACGACGATCGATTATATAAGTTTTTGCCACTTTTATAACCTTTTGAATAGTTAAGCGTCGAAAATTCTAGACAACAAAGTGTACGCTATTCAGAAAGAAAACTCATTCTAATTTCCAAGATACTTGCGTTCATACAGACGGACAGATTGACATGGCTATATCGTAAATGAAATTATTTATGGAATTACTATTCATTTGCACTCTTCCGATCTTTCTGGAAAAGGAAAATAAGTGATATTGCGTTTTAGAGTGCAGACCTTTTCGATTGATCCAACAGATTTGCAAGCTCACAGGCACTTTTCTTAAGTAATTAAAACTCAAATATCCTGCTCCCCCAAATAATTAATAAGACAAAAAAAGTATATGAAATCAAATTGGAAACTGAATCGAAAATGTTAAGACAAAGAATAAAGCTAAATATTGCTGGCACACAACTGATCTGTTGCAAATAAATTGAAATTCTTTTAAGCCTTGCATATCCTGGCCAATTTTTTGTTAGTTGTGTTAAATACATTGTGTATGAGGATGCTCCAAAAACCCACTCACACACATATAGTTTATTTAATAATGCCTACATCCATTAACGAAATTCCAGGGATTCGTATTTGTTTAAAACATTTATTTTCTGCATTATATTACCATTAAATTTAAACAATATTCAATCTTGTTATGGGCAACTACAATACTTAATTGTCTATCTTTCTTACTTAAGCCTATTAATTTGCATTAATTACACACAGTAATTATAATAATTAGTTAATAATAGTCGTAATACATAATAATCAAACTTGCATTTTTCCTTTTGTTTTTTTTTTTTTGTTGTTGTTACTTTTTTGTTCATATTTAGAATTAAGACAAACACACAGTTACACACAATTTGATGCATACATTCATATTTATAATATTATTTGCTCTTTTTACACCGCCTATTGACCGCTTCCCTTAAATGTACAATGGCTTAGAACTATTTAACTTAAACATTGATTTGATTTTTCATAAAATCTGTCTGACAATTAACCCGTTAGTTCTTTTTGTTACATAGTCGTTAAATAGTTTACAGACTGAGACCGCTTTTTCGAAATTAGCTTGCTCCAACGAAAATTCAATAAATATACAGTGCGTGTATGATTTTATGTATTTTTTTTTCAAAGCCAACAACTATTTAACATTTATTCAGCTTTGAAGATCATCCAATTGTTTTCTTCTTCCATTTGAACTGCAATATGGGACAACATCTAGTGTTAAAATGCCGATTAACTTTACAATACGCAAATTTTATAAATTTCACCATTCGCTATAAGAATCTTTGACTGAGTATGGACATATATATAAGATTCAGCAGACATTGAAAAACACATCTCAGTTTTATAATGTTTTCCAATTCATGCTATGTATACATGTATGTATAGTGTGTTACTTTGTTTGTTTATGTGCTTGCTGCTATTGTTGCTGGTAACAGCCAATACTAAAAGAACATAATGCTTTACAAATGAATACAAATCAATAATTTGTTACTCATAATTTAAAATGTATGCTTAAAACAACAACGAAAACCGTCACTTTTAGTGTCCAGTGGAAACTTGGCAATCTTGCTTAACATTCAATATCGCCAAAGGTAACTGCACGCAAAATACTCTAATGGAGGGCCTTCTTAAATAACAAGTAAGCAAGTAAATTAACACTGCGGACCACGTCTGGGGCTTGACCATTGCCTAGACAGGGCTATTAGACTATTTCGAAAAAGTGTATTGGCTACATAGCCAGGCTCCAGACAAAAGCCTTCAATTAAATACAAGGAAAATATCATTTCTGCAAACACAAGGCGAGCGGGATGTTGAAATGTTGATGTTTTTTCTAAATTATATAAAAACAAAATCGTAAGGACCTAAATAAAATGTTGAAATTACAAAACATTTGCGAAGAATGTTAAATAATATTGAAATACGCTGAAGTCAACATCCTCCTAATCTGCACTTATCACTGGTGCAATCGCATTCGATTTACAAATGCATTTGGGAAAACAGCTTTCACATGATCGGATCGGGCCCCTGCCCTTCCAGATCTGATACCTGACTTTGATAGTGCAGCGCGTCCTGGTAGGCCTTCTTCACCGCCTTGCGCTCAGCGGGCTTACGCGATTCCACAAGCTTTTGCTGGTCCACCTGCTTGTCAATGCCCAGAATGTCCAGCTTGTTGGCAGGCAGCCATTGCCAAGTGCGCTTCACATCAAAGAAAAGGACCAGAAAAACTATGTCGTCTAGGCAGTTTTTGCGCAGAGCCAACACATCCGCTGGCGGCGCTGGCAGTGGCACACCATTATAAACAAACCCCTTGGGCGTCTTTGGATCCAGTATGAGCGCTGGATACCATGGGTAACCACGACACTTCGCCCACACAAGCTGCAGAGGCTCCAGCGCCGGTTTTTGAACAGTGTTATTATGCTGCTTTCTTCGCGAACCAACGGACTCCTCCAATTCGTCGCTTGACTTTTTGCTCTTGTTGTTGTTCGTGCAGCTCACTGTACTTCGTCTTGACTTGATGTTGTTCACCAGTGGCGTCGACGCATTTGGCGTTGCGGGTCGAAGCTTTGTGGACTTGTTCATACCGCGTGTTTGTGGCGGTGGCGTTGCTGTTGATGTTGTGGATTCGCTGAAATTGCTACGCCTTTTTCCTTTGCCACGCCCCGCCGGTAGAGGCAGACGCTTGTCCGCTTGCAGCGTTGGGGTGCTGCGTGTCACGCGTTTTTTGGATGCGATGGCTCCTCCTTCCTGCGTATTATCACTTTCTGAGCTACTACCACTACTGCTAACGGCCATATCTCCATTTCCGTCTGCATTGTTCATGCTGGCATGATGCTGATCCATGGCATCTGTTGTGCAATCCTGTGAGCCGTCACGAATCGCTCGAAGATCTCTGACACCTAAAAATATTCATGACATTACTATTTATATAGTTTAGTCAATTTTAAAACATTTACTTATTTTTTTTTTTTTTATTTAAAAAAAATGTTTGGATTTGGATTTCTTTTCCTCTTTGGATCCCATACAGCTAAAGAAAATTGGATTTTCTTGTACTGTATTGTCATTTCATAAAATTCAATTGATTATGATATGAAGGCAATCAAAATTCTTGGGTTTGAAAACAAAAGACTCGAAGAATAATTACTTTTGTAATAACTTCAATTACTTTTTGATTTCAAACTTAAATTCTTGATTCAATTCATTCAAATCAAAATGATTTACAAACCCAATGAATGAGCCTTATGTTAGTGGCTTACCTTTTGTAGCAGCTGTACTGCCATCACTATCATGCTCATCCGTGTCCCCGTCCTCGCTGTGAACATCGCCATCGCTTGCCTCGTCGCTGTCAAAGTCCGAGCAACTGCCCGTTAAGCTAAAGTCGGAACAGCTGCTGCACGGGCTGCTTGACTGCGAGGGTCCATCGTCGCTGTCGCTAACATCGCGCTGATTATTGGCCCGATATACTCGGAAACTATCCGGTATGCGCTCGAAAGGCAGCGACTCTGATGGCACCGCAGGTACAGCATTTGGTGATTTCTTTGGTGACATCGAAGCGCTATTCCGTAGCTCGGGCAAACGCTTGTAACGCGCATTGCGTTTGGGCGACTTGGCGGCCGTTGACGAGTTCACCGAATTCGCAGTATGTGAGAGCGCTGTCAGGCCCAGCTTGTTACTTATTGAGAGTGCAGATGAGGTTAAGCTGGCGGAGACTACAGCTGTTGCTGCATTGGCCACTGCAGCGGCACCTGTACTGTTGTTGTTGTGCGTTAACGCAAAATTCGAGGTGGTCGGCGCCGCGGGGTTGAGTGTTTGAGCATTAAGCGTACTGGTTGCTGCCGTTGCGGCCGTCGATGATGAGGTGCCTGTGGATTGCATGCTTGATGACTGGGAATTGTGCTGCTCCTCCTTAACGGGAGTCGTCTGTGCTTCCGATGGACGTTTTAAGGCTGCCTGTGATTTGCGCGTCAATAAAATGGCCGTTCTTTGAAATTGAAATACAAAATAATTATTTAAACGAGTTAAATCAATGTAAAATAGGCAGTCGTCAGAATGATTTGCTTTTGGATTCATCGTCTAATTTCTTTTCGAAAATTATTCGCTTGTCTTGTTATTAGTTAGCACTTACCTTCTATTAATACCCACTGGCGAGGTGCTATTGTTCAGGCTCTTGATGGGACTACAAGGCGGTGTTTGTACTGTATTTGTTGTGTCTTTCGAGGCGCCGTCATCACCCATTGAATCATCTTCCGAATCATCATCATGCTCCTCCACATCCTCCACATCGTCATCTTCATCCACTTCCATCGCATTCGTTGAGCGACGTATACGAGTGCGCTTTTTAGATGACGTTACGCCATGTTCACCATCCTCGTCACTTTGCGAATTCCGTGCTGAGTGCCGCTAGAATTTCAAAAGGAATATTAATAGCTTTAAATAGATATACTTGAAATATTATTTGCCCGTTTACTTACCGCCAGATATCGTGCTTTTTGCAGAGCCTTGCGAATGCGGTTTGTCTCTACTCGTATCTGTTTGATTTTCTTAGTGCGATAGCTGGGATTTTTAAGCACCTGTGACTTGTCCGCCAATATGAGTAATTTTTGCACTACACCATCGCTTGGTGCCAGCGCTAATAGTTGACGCAACTCCTCCTCCACCTCTGCTTCGACGTGATCCACTTGCGAGCGATTCGTGCGATCCAAGAGCCCATCACGTTGCAGCTCCTTGCGCAGTTGGACAAACAGCGGCGCTGCCTGATCTCGCATCCGTATGCCAGCACGATAAAAAACCGTATCCTTGTTGTTGTAAGCCAAGCAGTTTTGTATCATTAGATCGAAATCAGCCTCAACTTGTTCAAGCATCGTATACTTGTACTCCTTGAGCTTATGGCGCATTGTACCCAGATCCATGGGTTGTTTAACAATGTCCATGTAATCGGGCACTTCGGTAATGTCGACGGGTTCACGGAAAATCTCTAGTGTATCGCGCGATTCAAGCGCATCAAGCAGCTTGCTAAATGCCAACTCCAGTGGATTCAGCTGCAGCATGACGACCTCCTCGGATATTTTTACAAAGGCAACTTTCAGCTTCTCACGCTTGCGGACCAGCTCGCAAAGCAGACGTGCTCGTTCCAGATCCTGACGTAGGCACTGCCAATATTTGAGCTGTCGATACAGTTCCTTCGTGTCCGGAGAGCCCTCAATGCCATTGCGCTGAATAACGCCGTGGTTGTTACCCTGACTTTGCAGACGTCGCAGCAGCGGCACGCCATTGCGATAATGCCTCTTGAGCGTCCAATAAGCAATGATGCGATCAAGAAACTCTTTCTTCTTTTGCATGTTCACCATGCTGGCGATCTCGTGCACCCGCTCCGGTGGTATCGTCGGAATGAGCACTACCGGCGCCGTGGACCGCTTTTTCGCCAGAGCCTTTCGCGCCTCGCGCATCTTGTGACGCGTATCCTCGAAATCCGGCACATTGGTCTTTAGCTTAGCATCTGCCGGCGTGTGTGCATGACAATAGGCAAATTTCTGCACATGCATCGACGAATCGTTGTGCCCGTCCTTCACCGTGTCCATCGTCATGTAGAGCCCCGCCTGCTGGGCACATGTCACATGGAAGGCAGCGTAGCAACTATTTCGGTGGCACTGTATGCAGGCCCCCAGGCCTTTCTCTTTGCACACGTAGCAGGTAAGACGCCAGCGTGCCGGTGGTATGGTTTCAATAGAATCTGCATGGAGAAGCATCGTTTAAAAATAATTGCAGTTTTTTGTTTACAGAAGCGAACTTACCAATTGGCTCCAAGAACACAGTATTCGCAAAGCGCACCTCCGGTATCCACAGCGCACACACCACATGCGCCCACTGGCCATGATCCGTCTGCTTGAAAGCGCCACCGGCATTTGGACAGAGCACACAATTGACTGGCTTGCTGGGTGATTGCAGGCAACGACGACAAAGCCACTGACCCTCCGGAATGTAGGGCACACCGTAGCAGTCTTGATGTACGGCCAGGTTGCACATGTCGCAAAAGAGTATCACGTTCGTGTTTTGGCACTCACCGTCTAGGCAAATGCAGCACACTGCATCATCATCCACCTCGACGCCTGTGGGCGTACCGTTTGCCGCTGCTTGAAAGTGTGACTCCTTCTCAAGCCGATCCATTAGCATTTCCATGGTATCGATGCTCACAGTGTGCAGGCCAGACTTTTCACGCTGCTCGTTCATATGTTCTAGCCAGGCGCTGTCCTCTTCATCCACATCGTATTCAATTTCGCCGTCCAGCTCTTCTGCTGATTTCTCAATGAAGCGATAGTAGGCTAGCGGCCTAGGTGGCGCATCAGGCACATTGTAGTCTTCAATTTCGCGCACATTCGCCTCCGGCACCTGTACACGCGCCCACGGCGCATTCTCCTCTAAAGGTGGTGCGTCTGCATTCAGTATGCACCCTCGCTCCACCAGCGAAGCGAACTCCTCGTCGTCAATTAACGGCAACGGCTCATCTATTCCTATACGAACGCTTTTGCCGTCGATGTTAAATGTAACCATTTCCTCCTCCTCGTTGTATGACACCAGAGACTCCGGATTCGAATATTGTTGCTGTCGTGCACTTCCGCTGCTCCCGGCACAGCCGTTCTTGGCGTCACCACCACCCGTGCTGGAGCCATCGCCGCCACTGCCATTGTCTTTAGGCGTTGAATGGTGCGCTCGAGATCGCGCCTTTTTTCGACTTGGCGTCAGCACAGGTGTCAAGGGCTGTGGGTTGTCGTGATCGTATTTTACCAGGTGATACTGCAGTCCGACAATGGTCTTGTAGCTGCGATCACATCCGCGCACCGGACATGCGTATGGCGGCTGGGACTGTTTTATTTTCACGCTCTTGCAGTACTCCACGGCATCAAAATCGAGTCCCATTGCTGCAGCGTATTGTTTGTTATGCTGTTGGCCTGAAATTTGCTATTGGTGACGAATGTCTACTCCGGCTTATGGTGCTCTCATATATACATGTTTATTTTGTTATTGCAGCGCGCTTCTTTTGTTATCTGCTACTTTATTTTTGCTGGCTTGTTGCAAAAAATGCGAAATTCTGAGATATTAACAAATGTACAAATGTGATATTTTACAACACTTGATGGCCAGCATGCTGGCTACCTTCTGCCAACACTGAAAACTATTCGATAAGTTGTGAGTTTGGAATGCAAATGTTTGGATTTCTATCTTTTTTATCGGGGCTAAGCATTATATTGCGTCTTTTAAATTGCATTTTTATAATAACAACAGTTATATTAGTTAAGTTGTTATAAACTAAACTACTTAGAAGCTTGCCCGCTTTTCATGCTTTACAACACTATGCCAGAACAGCAGCTGCACCGAGCACATTGAACAGTATTATCTTGCCATATAATAAAAAATTCAAACAATCATGGCCAATAATATACTTTTGGTGATTATGGGCAATTTTGTATACATTGTTTTCAAATTAAAGCATAAAAAAGGCAGTTCAGACCAGCAAAAAATATTTTCGGTTTGCGCGGGAAAATCTTTCAGCCAGAACAGTGTTGCGCAAAACCAATTCGAGTTCTCCCATAGTCCCAAAAAAATGTCATTAACATTATAACAATTTCAATTGTAAAATAAATCAGATATTCGCTGTTTACCGTACATTTTACAGAATAAAAATATCATACGCAATTTTTAATAGTGCAACACATCGCGTACATCGATTAAGCATATCGATAGTTTCGATAACAAATCTTTGCAAACTCGTTTTCTAGTGACGCGCCGCCATTTGAACGAAACGGGGAAAAAGGAGCTGTCGTTGATATTACTTAAAAAAAACATTTGTGTTCACGCTTCTTTTGTAAAAATGGAAGACTTACTGAAAGTACTGGGCATCATAAGCAATCTCAAAGATGATTTGAATACAACTCATAAGGTATTTAGATTATTTCGAATCTAGCATCCGCAGCTAAACGCGCCGTTTTTTCATAGAAACATTTCGAGGAGCTTGATGAGTTGTTTTTCGGTGTATCAACGCCTGCTGCAGACGCCACTGGCGAACAAAGCGAGTCCATTAAAACGTCCACTTCAGTTACTCCCCAGCAGACGAAGAAACGACCAAAACGCCTTTCGTCCCTTACCGAAGAAGAAACAGACTCTGGTAAGTTGTACAATTTAATTGCCAGCTCCAAATCTTTATTGCTACCGTTGCGCATGTGCAGGAGCTGCAGCTAATGACGCCAAGAAGGATGTTTCGTTGCGTACGAGCGTACGCGTCAGCAACTCGCAGCTTCTGGCCGCCGCAGACGATGTCTCAACTGACAGCCAGGCTAATACAACGGCTGGTCTCATGCCGCCACCTCCAGCGCCAGCGGACACGACTTTAAGCTCGGGTCGACCTCAGCGTGCGGCCAAACTGCGCTCTGAAAAGAACCTGAAGGAACCATCTCTCAATAGCAAAATGCGACGTCCCACAACTGAAGATTTGGTCAAGGTCAAACTGGAACACGAGCACCGTCAGTCTCAGTTTGAAACGGCGAGCTTTAACGAAACAGATACAGCGCCAACTCCATTGCCCAGCACCGAAGTGTCAAAGCCAGTTGACGAAATCGTTTCCGATGATAAGGAGGACAATAAGAGCGCGAGAGAAGTTAATACATCGAGGGATGTAGTTGTTAAAATCAAACGTGAGAAGCTTAGCAATGGTACTAAAAACGAGGACTCAACACCGGCGCCAGTTTTGGCAGACCAGTTCAAGGTACCACTTGCCGTACCACTAGCTAAAGCATTGCCCGCGACAAGTGACACCGATGAAAGCACCGTCCTCTCGGTAACTGCAACGACGAATACAACTACAACATCAGCACCCGCCAAAAAGGGCCGCAAAAAGAAGGAGGCCCATCGCCCAATCAAAATTGAGCGTTTTAGCGATCTAGAGAAAGGGTCGCCAATCTCTTCTCGCACTCGCAGAAACATTCCCGGCAAACGCAATTCAGAAGAGTCACAGCCGCCGCAGCGATCGATATACGAGGATGCTATAGAGAATTTGCCCAACGGCAGTGAAACGCGCGCAGAGCCGGCCGCTCAAGGTGCAGTTAATGAAACAGTGACCATCTCGAATGCAACCATGATATTGAGCACCGCTCCTGGCGATGCTACCTTCAATTTACCCCAAGGAAACGCGACTATCACACTGGGAAAGCAAGATGCAACATTTGCTGTGGAAAATGATACCCGAAGCTCTGATTCATCAAACAAAACAATGGAAACTGCAAAGGATACAAGTTCGCAGCAGCCACAAAGAGATAGTCTTATGACCGAAGATGATTCAGTAGTGGACGAGACACCACCGGTCAAGACAGTTGCTGCCAAAAAAGTGGTACCACCTCCAAAGTCTGCCACTGTTAAGCCCTTGAAGATGCCTACACGTACCCATGAGCTGTTCAAGTAAGTAGTACACATCATTTAGGACAATAAACCATGTGTGAAATCATCTGGCTATAGAATTTTAGTAATAATCTTACACCTTTTCTCTTGTTCGTACCACAGTCCCCTTTTACAAAGTCCTGTGAAAATGCGCGTAGAAGCTTTTGAAAATGCAGCCAATGCACAAACTGGCCGACCGAAACGCACCAAGGAGCTTATGGTAAGCGATATTATAGTCGACATTTAATAGCGACTAAACAATGGCTTTATTCTAACCCAAATAGGGCACACCCAGCAGCGGCACAACACCTACAATTGGCAAACTACCCGCTCCAACATTGGGACGTTTTCTAACGCCCACACAAACTATGAGTGCAGGGCCACTGAATTCGGCACAACCCAAAAAGGCGCCCCTAAGCGCCTGCAAAGCCACAACATTGATGAAAACCGCTACTGGCACCAATCTTAAATCCACAAACTCCAGTTCCACAAAAACCCTCTCACGCGAGAACAGTGGTGATGACTTCCGAAAGGGATTGCATCAGCTGGCCGAAGAGCGTAAAAAGCAGCGCGAGCAAAAGCATTTGTTGGCTGCGCAACAGCGCGAGGCAAAGGAGCGTGAGCGTGCCGAACGAATGGCTAAGCTGGCAAAGGAGCGTGAAGAGAAACGTATTAAAAAAGTGCAGGAACAAGAGCGTAAGAAGCAAGAACACGAGATGCAACTAAAACTGCGCCAGCAAGAGGAGGCCGAAGCACTGAAGAAGGCCAAGGCTAAGGCCATACAGGAGCAGGAACGTGCGATGTTGCTGCAAATGAAACAGGATCAGTTAAACTCGGCCAAATCAAAGCAAATTATGATGCCGCCGCCACCAAAATCCAAATACACATTCGAAATGTTGCACGAGGATGATTCAACGGATGATGAAGGAAAAGTAACCTACAAACGACCGCCGCCACCCACTTGGAGTCGATGTAAGTAGCTCCTTTTTATATTTTATCGAAAGATTAGTTATTTAATTTTTTTTGAATCGATATACACAATCCCGTTTTTTTTAGTTTTTCATCAATTTGTTTTTTATTTTTTTCAGCTCACGTGCGTAACGCTGCGCTGGTCATGCAAAGCTATTGTCCCACCGATGTCATAGACAGCTTCTTCTCTGTAGCACCAACGACCCCCGACTTGAAGTTAATATTTCCCAACATTGATCCACGTCAGTTGAAACGCAACTCCAGCGTGCTCTGGTCCACACCACCGCGCTACTCGGAGCTACCAAAATACTAAGTTTTCTTTTTAAGCTAGCCAAGGGACGTTTTCTCATGTGACAGCTAACTCTAATTAGCGCAAAAACTGGAATATCTTTATACAAAATATGTTTGTTTCTGCCCTGGCTAGAGTTACCTGTAACATGAGGAAACGTCCCCAAAATCTACAATTTTCTATTGCAATCAGTTATATGTTTATGTGTTTTTTACGAATGTGGTTATTCTTAAATATTTTATGCATTGTACTAAATAAATTATCAATAAAGTTTAGTTCTATATCAGTTGATTACTGGCCATTTTTTTAAAATAAATCGTGCGTAGACCCAGTAACCGCAAAATGCTAAAATAAATAAAATAAAGTACCGCTTTGGTTAGCTCTTGAGCTTCGAATTTGACACTAATACTCAAGTACTTAGAACTGCTGGGCTATTAAAGCTGCAAAAGTGCCCAATCGGCGGCTTCAATTAAACAGGTGCGCCGCAGCAAGCGTACTCGTACAATGAAATTGATATGCGTTGGAAATTAAGTAGAAAAATAAAAGCAAAAACTCGACTGAGATGATGAAAAATAGAAGTAAACACAATTTCACTGGTCATGCTATGGTTCCATGGCATTCATGGTCGTCTGTCTCCTCCTTCTCCTCTCTATATCTTGCAGTTCGATTGTTCGGATTTTCTTTTGCTTGCGCTCTGCGGCGCTTGACTGCCAAACGAGGTGACATGGAAAAAGGCAAAGCCGCTTCATGCGAGTCAATAATGCCGCCTCTTACTTTTGATTACGCAGTTCATTTGTGGCACTTTAAAGTGCAAATGCAAATGTATACATATATGTATACATGCATATATTTATAAAAGTATGTATATGTGTGGGTGCAATCGAATACTCGTGGTAAGCCTCAGCAATGTCAACAACTTCAATCGTAAGTACAAGTAACAAACAACAACATTGGCTGCGGCTGCTAGCATAGAAGTGTTCATAGAAAAGAAAATTCGCCAAGTCATTTTCATTTTCAATTGGTTTGCCGTGCATGCTGCCATCGTAATCACATTCGCATTTTGTGGCTGGCTGGCTGGCTGGCTGGCTGGCTGGCTAGCTGTAGCGTTCGTTGTTGTTGCTGCTGCTGCAATGTAATTTGCATGGTAATTTCTAAATATTGCTGCATGCTGATTGGACTGTCGATGCAGTTGGGTGGAGAAAATTGCAATTCGGTTGCGAGCTTGTTAGAATCTGAAGTTAGTATGGGGCCGGAGGAGCGCACAATTTGATGCCATTAGAGCCTAATGGATACATCTGAGCAGCTAAAAAGTAGAGCCAGACGGTATAATTTCAATTATTCCAATGTTTTTTGAAGAAATATTTGCCTAATCATTAAAATTGCTTTAGGGTTATACATTTCTTAGAAATGATTTAAAGAATTTGTGTATCTTTTGAGTTGACGGAACATGGATTTACTATATTTCGAAAGTACCATAACAAGTCTCACAAGTGATTTTTTGTAAAGAATAAATATTGAAATTTTGTTATTAAAGGTCCCGTATTGTACTGAATTGATAAGATCGCAATTAATACCCTAAATATTCACCATTATTCGTGATGATTTTTTCGATTCATGCAGACATTAAGGACAAATCTAAATAATAAACATTTTGAATATTTTCCCATAGCTGCGTTTTGTTTTGGCAAACCGTCTTTGAAATCCCTCGTTTAAGTTCTTGGATCTTAATGGGATTACAGTCTGGGGATTGACTGGGACGTCTACATTATGCGCTCGGAACAATTCTTTCACAAATCGGATCGAATGTTTAGGCTAATTTTCCTGTATGTTAGTATCAATGGTGCTAAAAAATGTACTTTAGCAAATATTAGGTATAATGGGCTTGTTTTTTTTTTTAACGCTATTATGGTTATATCACTTATCAATGAATCTACTTGTTATGTTTTAAGTTCATAGTTTTACATTTACTATCTGTAAAAAAATATTATTTTGAATAAGAAGATTTTAATGAATAAATATATACATATTTTCTTTCTATACTATATGCTCAAATGGAAAATATTCTTAACTTTACAAACTAATTTTCAAAACAAAAAGAAGCTTTTGAATTAACAGACAAAATAATTAATCTCTAGAGTATGCAATATAAGAGCATCTTTCAAATAATTAAAAAAAAATGTATTTCCATAAACCCATTAAAAGTTTAAACTTAATTTAAAACACATACCAAACAAAACATACAAGTACTTTATGCAAGTTTGTTGCCTAAGTCATTTGTTTTTTCGAAAAGCAACCGCCAAGAAACTTCACCACTCTCAAAGCTCTCAGGCCGACATCTTGCCCGGCAACTCAGCGCAACTTCTTTGGCGTCAAGTGGTGGGCGCTCAGTTTGAGTCGAGCGTTCGAGCGGTGAACAACGTGTTGTCGGCATTGGTGAGTTCGCGGACGTGGACGCGTAGACGAGTGCGTATTACAGAAGGCGACGAAGCAGCACAAGATACCGGCGGGCGTCCGCGTCTTTCTGTGTGTGTGTGTGTGTTAATCTATGAAAAGTGAATAACTTAAACGAGCTCAAAGCTTTCGTACATTTCTCTCATCGTGTGTGTGCGTGTGTCTGCATAAAAATTAAAAAAGAAGCAGCAGCAAAAGGCAAAACGTAACGTACATATGGATGAATGATATTTGTATCTGTGTGTATGTGTGTGCGTGTGCGTTTGTGTGTGTGTGTGTAGAGAAGGCAAAAAATAAAACAACAAAAAACTTTCTTTTTTGCGCTTTTTGACTGCCTTTGACGACCGCCTTAACTTGGCTTAATGCAGTGGCTGTTTGAGCGGCTTCTGCTGCTCTTTTGTTTTTCATTTTTTGTGCTAGCTTTTGCAAATTCGTTTATTCGTGCTTTGAAATTTATTGCAGACATAATTCAGCGTTGCCGCGACCAATATTCATAATACCTATGTTTGTGCATACATTTTCACTGCCAATTAAAATTAATGAAGCTGTGCAAAAACAAAATGCAAATTAATAAATAAAAACTATAATCGAACGAACAACTGCAAATCGAGCTTGACACAAACTTATTTTATTTATTATCTGTAACAATACATTGAGAAACCGTCAGATCCGCTTATCGTTGACCCCCTAGCTACCTGTCTGATGCACTGAAGCTACGAGCTATTTGCTACCGGATATGCGACTTGGTCGGCAACTTCAGAGGCAATCAAACCAACTCAGGTGCTCAACGACTGATTGAAGGCTTGTGCCTGGCTAACAAATGTCTATAAACACCGCAATTAATCAACGACAGCCACACTTTTGGCCAAGATCATGGTCATTACAATGTCGACCATGCAAAAGCAGCCGAAAAGCAAAACTGCATCGGACGCGACAAACGCAAGCACAACCTGTCAGTGAAGTTGCTGTTGTTTTTTCTTCAATGCAATAAAATGTTTGAGGAGCCTAGCCAGCCACTAAATTGCTGCACAACATCGTATATACTGTTACTTGTCCCATTTCGCCAAGCGGGAATTTGTGCCAATTTTTTCTGAATATATAAAAAGAAAAACAAGGAGAAAAACCCCATCTTGGCAGCAGCTGCTGCTCGTGGTTGACTCTCTTCATACATACTCGTATTTCCCTCTCTGTCTCTCTAGTTTTTTGCTACCTTGCTCCGACTTCTCTACAGACTGTCAGGCTGCTTGTCTATCGCCTGTCGCTTGATTTTTATTTTCGATAATTTAAAGTCTACATTCCTTGGAGCCACAAAACCGCATTTCTTGCTGACTCGTTGTCTGGCTGTCCGTCAAGCTGCCTGAACTCGCTCCCCTACCCATTATATAGAAAATTTCAATTTTGTCTTGCCTCCTTTGCAGTTGTTTATTTATTTGGTGAAATTTTTTCGATATTGTGTTATAAATGTAGTTTGCATTTGTGTACCTCAACATCCATCAGCAAAAAAAAAAAAAAAAATTGCAAATAGAAAACGAGCATCAAATCAGCTAAAACATTTCCATTTGTGCCGCACATCAATCAAATCTTGGATTAGTACGGAACTGCAAAAGCGCTGCGGTCGCTGCTTTAAAAGTGGCAACAATTTGGGCCCGCTTGAAAGTGCGTCGTTTCGAGGTAAGTCTGAAAACTGTTGTTAATTGAATGAAAGTTAATGGACTTACAGTTAAAAAAATATAAATGTGTGAAGCATTTAAAACGCGTTTATATTTCGTGCATATGTGACCAAATAATGCCCAAGTTCGGTTCCTAAGTCTTTTGTATATGTACATGGAAAAAATAGACTTAATTGTAAATATAATGTATTATTTAATATCTTTCAAGTTTAGGAACTACATTCGGAGTTAAATTAGGGAGTGTATGCATTGATTAGTGTAATAGTTTTCTATAATGATCATAAATATTATTCTGAATACCAGCTTTTTGAATCTATAACCGGCTGACCGTCTGGTTCATAAGCAAACACATTTTGAAAGGTAAAAGAGGTAGAGTCCGCAAAAGTGCAAAATCAACACCCAGAAGGAGGCGTATATAGTATGTAGGTATACGAGTATTTCTGATAAATTAAAGGGCTCGTAAAGTTACGAACTTGGTTTCAAGATTCCGGCACAGCTTTTAATGTTTCGAATTAAATTGAGAACTTAATGCAAACAACTTGCTGAAAAAAAATTAAACTAAAGAAATGCCCTAGTAAGGTATTCAAGAATAAAATTGTTCAATAATTTTATATTATTATATTTTCGTTATTGGCTACGTTTTTTTTTTTTTTTTTGCTTAAACTGTAAACTCTGCCGGCATTTTGTTGTATCGCTTGTTGCTTTCTGCTCACACATTTCAAAAGACCCAGTACACATATCGCAGGTAGTGATCACGACCATCACCACCAGGTTACGTAACGAAAGACAACAGAAAATATAAAAATCATATGAGTCATTTAACAGCTGCAACATGGGATGCCAGCGAACTAATTACAGCTGCAACTTCCGTTTAGGACTGAGTGCCGAAAAAGTGGCAAAGAAATCAAGTTTTCAGGCTTAAGCTTTGCTAAAGAAATGTCCAACACACACATACACACACACACGCACACATCCACTTGGTTACAAAACGTAAACAAGCCACAATGCTGACAGGCTGTTGCGTGGGATGTGCTGGCAATCAGTCATTGGAAACAAAATGGAGTCATTTAATGACAGCGGCAAACACACGCCTGCGATGAAAAGTGCTGAAAATGTTGGGCTTACTCTTGCTTTTGTTGCTGCTATTATTATTAAAAACTTTCTATTTCA